AAGATTTTTTTATTACCTTCTCTTGATTTCTTGTGTATTGTCATCGTTTTTAATATGAATAGATTACTGTGTTTTGTCAGAGTGATTTCAATTTGTGCAGTTAGCAGAATCATTCTTTGGTTATGTTACAGAATATACATTCTGTGTGATCTATAGTAACACCATGAAAGCCTAGGTAACGTGGACAGTTTAAAAACTGTGGACATGCTGTTTTACAATTAGGTTTTATACCAAGAGACAAATATTCCTAGGGTGACTGTCACCTTCTTCAGTATCTGACAATAGTACTACTAGCTGTGGATTTTATATAACAACATTAATATTATGTTCTTGGGTTTGCAACAAAATACAGAGACCAGTACTCTGTATTTTGTATACAATTGCCTATCCAAATGTGTGTTATTGTAATTCACTAGTTTTAGAATTAAATTTGAATTCAAGTTTATACACTGCTCAACAGAATTTACAATATTCTAGATTTGACAAGGCATAACTATCATTATTAAATAATATCAATGGTGCCAATTAGTTAATTTTAATGTCAAACATGCACCCTATGGTGAGTCATGTGATTATACGCATATGTCCATGTCCACAAATGTTTATTCGATACCAAAGACTGTAGCCCAATGAATTATCAACAAACGTTAGTTAATAAAACCTAGAGTACCTAGACCACTTGTCCATTGATGTTGCATAGTTAAAATGAATGAATCAGTTACTTGCTGGAAAAATACTTCTGCTAGGAAGTGAATTCATGCTGTCAAATGTATTCCCAAACCAACCTATACATGCTCATTCAGATTCAAACTGGTGAGCATGATGGTCAGTTTATTTGCTTAATACCCTCTTTTTCTAGTTGCTAACCAATTGAGCATGGTGTAGGTATATGTTGTCTTTTAGAAGAAACTGGTAACCAGCTACTCCTGGCTGTAAGACTTGCATTGCTATATTATTTGTCATTCGTAGCACATGAAGGTTAGTGTAGCCTTCAGAACAAGTCCCTGCCAAGATCAGTATACCACCATTGCTGTTTACTGGGATAGTTGTTTATCTATAAATGTTATAGTGAAAGAGTTAAACTGTTAAAATTTAGGCACATTCTCAGTCTGTAAAATCTACAAGAGCTACAAATCCTACTCCAAGACATTTGTTCACAAGAGTGATTGTTGCCTTCATTATTTCCATTACAGTATGAACATTTTGTTAATGCAATTGTATTAACCTAATGTCATTTTAAGAATTAGTTGGGACAAGTTGATAAGTGCAGAATGAAGTCTTTCAATTTAATAAAATGCATAATTGTAAAATAGTAACTGTCATTTTATTTCAATTGGTATTACTTTTTATTTTTTATATCAATAAAGGTGAGAATCTGGAATGTATTCAACATAATGTGAAGACATATAATACATAAGCCAGTTTAATTTAACTCATTGTTTCAAGAGATGTTGTACTTCACTGTTAAACTACTATTAGCATATTGTACATGAGTATCACTTGAGTCAGGTTTATTTAATAGCAGTAAATACTTTTTGTACGTGTTATTTCACCAGCTGCAGACATACTACTCACAAAAAGTCCATGTTTTAGCGTTAACTTCACCATGTGACATGGAATGGTACAGAATGCAGCAAAGTGTTTATGTTGATACTGTTTTGAGGCAATTATAAGTGTCTGAAGATGACAAAAAATAGCAGATGCAATAATTACTTTCGTACAACATTAAATCACAGATATTAGGTCTACAAACATCGAAATAATACCTCTAATCAACAAATTAGAAGCCCAGGGAGGATATGGGAGTTATTGTGCCCTCCAACTGCAATCTCTTCGGTTTGTAACTATGTTAGAATTTAGTCTTGTGTTCTAAATCATAACTAGCTATGTCTTTTATGCTTAAAATTTAATCATATCCTTGTTAGCTTGCAGTAAGTTGTACCTTCTGAACTCTAATTTAGAATTTTTTAATAACAAGTTATATCAACTGCAAAACGATTTTAGCTTTGGGGCTTCTTAAGCTAGCATCTCTTGGAGCCTACACCACTATCCCCAGGTGGCTTAGTGGTAAGTAATAGGGCTTATAACCCTAAAAATCGGTTTTTGATACCCGTGGTGGGCAGAGTGCAAATAACTCATTGTGTGACTTTGTGGTTTGAAACAAGTAAACAGACTTGGAGCCTACAAACATCAAAAACTTATTTACATAATGTTTTCTTAACCTTTTGACTGCGGCTGCTTTAAAACGTGCGCAGAATTTTTGCAAGTCATACGTTGTATATAGCACACTCGGATTCAACTGCCAGAGGTGGACTGTACCCTATACGCCAAATCAGCAGTCAATGAATTAAGCAATAAGTTTTCAGGCCACAAAAAATCATTCAGTAGCTCATGCGTCAAAATTTGTTCCAGGCTGTCAGAATTTATTCACGTTTTCATTTTGTTAAAATATAGTCACAATCTATACTGTTTGTATGTGTGTGTGTTCACATTCTCATAAGATTGAAACAACAAGTGCCATCAAAACTTTCTGGTAGGATTTATTGTACAAACTATACTTTCTAGAATGTCAGAACTTATTCCCATTTTAATTAGTTTGTGAAAGACTGTCCCATCTGAACTTCTTCCTGAAATGTTTTTATATTCTTATTTCTTGAGACAGCACCCATATTTTAAAAATGTTCTGTGTCGGTTTCAGGTTTTAGTCATTAACCCTCGATGCATCCTAATTGTGTACTTTCTGAAATGATTACTACAGTAAACATTTTCTACATAAATCAATGTTTTTGGTTTTTTTTTACAGACCTAGAAGGCACTGATTCTCCTGAACTTCAACATAAGCTAGAAATTCTGAATCGGTTAATGGATGAAAAGGTACATCTTGTTAAATTGTGTTTTAGTTATGTCTTATATGAAATTGAACACAAATATTATAAACGTTTTTTAGTATATAAATGTTTTGTGATGTATGTTGGTGTAAATAAAATGTACTAATTTTTGTTGAGTATGATTTCAGTTAAGTGTTTTTGTAATGATTATGGTGTAATGCACTGATGTTTGTTGAACACAGTGTTTATTTATTTCAAATTTCTGTTGTATGTGATGGCATAAATATAATGTATTAATGTTTGTTGAACAGTATACTTTAGTTTTACATTGTAACTAGGATGAAATACATTTATGTTTGTTGGACAGTTTCAGTTTACTGGTGGAATAACTTTCCGATAAGCAAGCTGTATGAGGAGAGCAAATTCTTGCACAGGCCATAAGGTATTTATGGTCCACAACAGTTTAATGAAGAGCCTGTGTACCACCTTGAATATTTCTTTCCAACTTAAATTCCCATATATCTATACTTCCTTTTAAATTTTTTCTAGGGCTTTAATAATAAGAAAAAGAACAGAACAGAAGGTATAGCACACCTATATGCTCTATTCTTTCGGGCCCGGTATGGCCAGGTGGTTAGGGTGCTCGACTCGCAATCTGTGAGTCGTGTGTTCGATTATAACTGTCCCACCAAACACTCGCTCTTTCAGCTTTAGGAGCATTATAATGCGATGGTCAATCCCACTATTTGTTGGTAAAAGAGTAGCCCAAGAGTTGGTGGTGGGTAGTGATGACTACCTGCCTTCCCTCTTGTCTTTTACTGCTAATTTAGGTATGGCTAGCACAGATAGCCCTTGTGTAGCTCACTGCTAAATTAGGGATGGCTAGCACAGATAGCCCTCGTATAGCTTCACACAAATTTCAAAACAAACAAACCTCTATTATTTCTCTTATTATTAAAGTCCTAGTAAAAATTACATGACACATCACCAACCCCTTATTCCTTGACATTGCATACAAGCCCCTGTTATCAGTGCAGGCTGGATAGACATGGTATTCTGGTTAAGTTTCATGGGCTGGATGCAGCCTGTGGGTTATAGTTTCCCATTTCTGCCTTAGGTTTATGTCATGAATAGGATGGAATACACTAATGTTTGTTGAATACAGTTTCTGTTTACTTATATGTTTTAACATTAATAGGACAGAATACAGTAATGATAGTTTTAGAAGGTTTATAAACATTTTAGTCCTAAATCACTGCATATAACTGGTTACATAAAACTTGTATGTCTAGAGTACTGATGATTACTGTCTTAAGAGTGCTTATTGATGTAACTTTTACACACATTTAATGCTTGGATGTTTCAGAAGTCTTACATGAAATGTACAGATGTGTATTGGACAGTTGTGATGAATAACAGGTTTTGTTATATGTGTATTGTACTAATACATTTTGTACAATGGTTCATTTACCTTATGGTTTATGTGAAATCTAGGTATGTTTTTGTACAATCACTTAGCCGTTAAAAATTGATTGAAGAAAACTAACATAATGTGTATATAAGGTTTGTTTCAGTGTTTCATGTTAATTCTGCATCCTTAACCCATTGACTGCTGATTTGGCGTATGTGGTACGGTCCACCTCTGGCAGTTGAATGCGAGTGTGCTCTATACGGTGCATAGCTTGTAAAATGTTCATGCATGTTTAGAGCAGCCACAGTCAATGGGCTAATAAATTACTGATTTTGAGTATAGTGTTTCATTGTTTCAGTTTGATTTACTGTTTTTGTGATGCCTTAAGTAAACATTAGTACTATTTATTTTATGTAAATGTTGCAATGTTTTACTTCTCTGACTTGATATTGGCAGTTTATTCTTGTTGTCTTCTATGTGAACTTCATGTGTTTTTGTAACAGATACTATGAAATGTACTAATGCTCGCTTCAGTATATTGAGTTGTATTTGGAATGATTTTATGCAGTGTCCCAAGTTACTTAAATGTTGAATACTGAATATGTTAAACTTACTCATTTTATTTAGGCACATAGTTTGCCGTACATAGTGTCCCAAGTTACTTAAATGTTGAATACTGAATATGTCAAACTTACTCATTTTATTTAGGCACATAGTTTGCCGTACATAGTGTCCCAAGTTACTTAAATGTTGAATACTGAATATGTTAAACTTACTCATTTTATTTAGCCACATAGTTTGTCGTACATAGTGTCCCAAGTTACTTAAGTGTTGAATACTGAATATGTTAAACTTACTCATTTTATTTAGCCACATAGTTTGCCGTACAAGCTCTACAGTTCTTTAGTTTAATGTCAAGTTTATTTATCTGTAACTTACAAGTGATTTTGGGTATTTTCCACTCTTCAATCAGCAGACTTGACCATATGTAAAAATGGATCAGTAACTGTGTTTGTTAAATATTTTGGTATTTTTTAATTGATTGAAGAATACGTGTAAACATATTTTAAGAATATGTTGAAAATTTTTTCTTGTCTCTCTCCAGTGGCTTTCTCTAAAGTGACAAGATTTCATATTTTCCTACGAGTCTTTTGAAATTCTTGTGTATTTCTAGCTTGAAGCAATGAGAGAACACCAGCCTCATGTTTCATATCAGCTCAACTGTGAGTAAAGCATTTAGTTAATCATCATACCAATAAAAACAATTCTTTGGTTACTGTCAAGTAGGTAGTGTTCATGACAAAAAAAAATGATCAAATTGTTTAAAATAGTGTATATATTCAGTTTATGAAAACTTATTATCTGTACAGTGTATTTAGCAATAACAAAAATACAGCTACAGTTAAACAAGTATAGTTCATCAGTCTTTGTACAGAAATCTGTTTCTTTAAAAAAATCAAATAATGCAAAACTAGAATATGATAAATAAAGATAGATAAAATCTGACTTCTTATCAAATATGTGATAGACTGAAATCACAGCTTAATGAAACAAGCTTGGCAGTAACTGATTGTAAAGATTTTTTTATGCAAGTGAAGTTTAATAAAATATGAGTAGAAATCAATGAGCACCCATCAAATATTAATCACAAAAGATCCAGGTTTCAAGTCTTTCATTATTAAGGCTAATAAAAGATTAAAAGTTCTTAGTATTTCTTCTATATATCTTACAGACAAAATTTAATGACATATATATATACTGAAAAAAATGCTTTAGAAAACTTTTGTTAGACTGCCTGTAGATAATATTTCATGAATTGTGCATCTATGCAAGTTACTTATATGTTTTCTATTGTTTATTTCTCAAGTGAATCATTATTGAATATCGGTATATATATGTTTGTGTGTGTATATTGAAATACTGCTAATTGTATATCACTTAAACTTTTGGTCTCTTTTTACATGCACATGCTTAGACATAAATATTTTGTTCAATATGTAGCAACTGATATTGACTTTTTCAGCTATTTTGTCTTTCAACAGTTAATTTACTTGTATATATAACACAGAATCTTCTTATAATATTAAGTATTAGTTACAATGCCAGTAATTGCTTTTGTGTTTTTTAACGGTCATATCTTATGACATTAATTTTAAAAAGAACTTGTCCGACAGATCTGCTGCTTCAGCCTGTTTGTCAGCTGTCTCTGTTATTGAAGTTGCTTTCATAGTGGCCTTAGTTAAGATCTTAAAAATGAACAACTCAGGCATGCTTATCAACTATCTAAGATATTTTTCAATACACTATATTTTGTTCCCACTCTTCCAATTCCATGATTATTCACAGTATCAAAATGTGCAACCGTCGTATAACCTTGCATTCAATAAGACATGTAACTTGAGAGATTCGGGTTCTAAAATACAACTTAATTAATACCTAGTTAAAATCTGTGGATCAACTTACACTTGCTTTTCTTATCTACTGGTATAAGGCAACTTGACAGGTAAGGGAAATCTTAGAATATCTTGTTTTAACTGCTCGTGGATGTTATACACATAATATTAATTTTGCTTAATGCCATCAACGGTACTATTTAAAGCATTTTTATTTAAAACTTCTCTGCACTGTTTAAGTTTTTATGTAGGAGGTCATACCTTGTACGTGTTATTTTCTATTAAGCATGATGTTATATTTTAAGTTCTTTTTAAAATGTACTGATGTAAAACTATCAAAATTTAGATAAAGGTCAGAAAGGCATTTCTTATGGAAAAGAAATTTAATTTTTTTTTTCTTGTGACATGAAGAATTAATTGTTTTAGCTAATTCAACGAAAGGAAAGGATTGTATGTTTAATTAAAAATGGTTAATAAGTTTAACCTTCTAATAGTAATAAAGCTTGGAAAGTGGGTCCTTTGAATATATACAAGTACTCCAGGTTTTGAACAAAAGCTTTAAAAGTGGGTCCTTCGACTATATACAAGTACTCCAGGTTTTGAACAAAAGCTCTAAAAGTGGGTCCTTCGACTATATACAAGTACTCCAAGTTTTGAACAAAAGCTTTAAAAGTGGGTCCTTCGACTATATACAAGTACTCCAAGTTTTGAACAAAAGCTTTAAAAGTGGGTCCTTCGACTATATACAAGTACTCCAGTTTTTTGAACAAAGAAACTCAACCACTCTCAAGTTTTAAAGTTTGGACGTGCAGATTTCCTTTTTATGGCTCGCCTCATAATAAGAACAAACATTTCTTTTTAGTACAGTACCAGCTCTCTTGATTACATTCATCTAAATACTCCTGTTTTAATGTTTGTAAGTTTTAAGACAAGAATACTATACTAATTTGTATTAATTTTTTCATACAGTTCTTTCTTAAGATAGGAATGATGCTAAGTTTGTAGGATATTTCTGACAGATTTTGTTGATTTTTTTTTCCCCTCAATTGCAGAATGTGACAATAAATGATTTGGGGTACTCTGTTAACCGTATGTGAACTTTTTCGTGTATATGGAATGTGTCTACACTAATGATATGACATATTTTACTAATTTTATGTAGCTTCATCTACTAGCTGTGAATGAAAACAGTGAGCTCCTCTTTCTGTAATTGGAAATTTTTGAATGTATCATTAACTCAGGACACTTATCTAACTTTCTGTCGACTTTTTGGTTCCATATATCTGATAATAATGAACTAGTAAGTAATGAATGACACAGTGTTAGCCTTATGTTTACCTTTTTCTAGCTAATTTGTCTGGAAACAATGAGAACTGATGTAACATATTGTAAATACATGGCACCCCACTAACTTTTTATGTTAAGTTTATTCACTTTTTTTTATCTGAACACAAGAACTATTTTATTGATGTAGGATACCTTCCTAAACTTGGTCCCCCTCCACGTACAATTATTTATTAATACTGGATACATTGAAAAATATAGAGTATCATACTGAACGTATATTTTAGTTGTTTACATGTACTGTATCTAGGACAATAACACTAATTAGCAATTCAATTTTCCAGCTACTGTATCTGAGGACAGTGACTACACTAGTGATGTAGGATACCTTCCTAAACTTGGTCCCCCTCCATGTACAATTATTTATTAATACTGGATACATTGAAAAATATAGAGTATCATACTGAACATATATTTTAGTTGTTTACATGTACTGTATCTAGGACAATAACACTAATTAGCAATTCAATTTTCCAGCTACTGTATCTGAGGACAGTGACTACACTAGTGATGTGGGATACCCTGCTAACCAACACCCAAGTGCCTCAGTTCACCACCCCAACAGTTCAGCTTCTCAGTTTGGTGGTGCTTCCAATTTAGTCCGGAGGGCTTCTCAGTGTGATGACTTTTCTTTCGATCGTGAAGGCTCTTATGAGCTTGACAACTATGATGAAGATATGTATGATGACAGAGTATCCCAATCTAAAGGTGGAGATATTTGGATGAAGGGAAGTGATTCTGAATCGGATCCTCTGTATTATAACAGCAGACCACCAGAACGCTGCGTGCAAAAAGACAGAAATAGGTAAAATGCATTTTTTTGCAAGCTCTAGTAGGTGTGTTATATTATTTAAAAAAAAAAAAAGAGATATATGTTAATTCTTATATGCAAAGCTCTTAATGTTTGCATTATGTTAGTAGACAAATTTTGTTTTGTATTGTAAAAATAGACAAATTTTAATATTTATCAGAAAAATCAATACATGTGTATCATATTAATAAATTACCAGCATTGTATTTGTAGAAGGAAAGAGAGAAATAACACTTACTTAAAGTATTATGTTCATGCAGATCTGTATTACATAGTTATACCACTACACGAACCTACAGAGTTCCACCATTTATGTTTTTCATTTTTCATAACCATTTTAGTAGATGTAAATTCTGTAAAAGGTAATAAATTCCAAGATCTATATTCCTATGATTCTGGTATCCAAAAAGGTTTTCTCTAAGCAAATTAAGTTCATCATATAGTCTTAGTATTGCCAGGAATTGACTGACACCTTCTAAGTTCTACTTTTTTTTTTTTAAAATGATGTGTTATGGAAACAAGTTTTGGAGTAACTTTCACAAAAAGTTTGGTAAAATACTGCCAGGAATTAACTAATAGTAACAGTTTGTCCTTGCATTTTATTTACTACAAAGAAGAGAACCTGTGATTTTGATGATACTGAGCATGTGTAAGATTTACAGAAAAGAAATAAATAGTCGGTGAACTGCTCACGAGCAGTATTTATTCTGTTACTTAAAAAAAGAAAATATTAATTGTAAAACATGCTTCCTTATTTCCCATGCGAATAAACAACATTTTTTTTTAACTTCATATTGGAAAAATTAAAGATATTTAAAAACATGTGCAACAGCAAGCTGGGTTTGGTTGATCCTGAATAAAATCAGACCAAATTTTAAAAAGGAAGAGCAACGACTTTTCATTTTCTTTTAACTATTGTAATCTGTAGTAACCTTGGGCATGCCTTTGATGATATAAGGTGCCATTAATCTTGTTAAAGATCTTTGCCACAAGCATGGTTTTGCTATCAGCGCTGCATTAGAATCATCTTCTTGGTTTAAAGTTCACGAGGATGTGCAAAAAAAGAAATGCATTCTGTTGCTGACTGACTTAAAAACTTCTCCAATATCAAAGCACTGAGAAACCAAGATGTGCATATGGATTTGGTAGTGGAGGTTAGGAGTAGGACCAAGGATCTGTAAGTTTTGTCATGTTTTTTGCAATCTGTATACATGATTGTGGCATTAACCTGATCTAAACTTGGTCTCTATTTTTGGCCTTATTTCATGAAGCACCTGTTCTTTCTTATTCTCTAAATTAAAATATATTTTAAAGTAATCCTGTTTAATTTTTTAATTCATCAGTGATGTCTATATTATGAAGGATGTATATTATTAAATATTTTCAGTGGCAAATCATAGTTTATATTAGCAAATACACAAAATATATGGAATATAGTGCTGTAAAAATTCTCATTTAGTACCATAAACAATGTATATTTTTTTTATCAAAGTCTTGTTGTTGTTTTCAGCAGAAAATCCTGGACTCTTAGATAAAAATATCTATATATTGCAACATAGTAACAAAGTGGATGTATTGAGCTTTCATGTGTCACTAATCTGAATATTTTTAAAAGATTCTTTATATGTTACCATTGAAACTCTATAACAGATTGCTAATAATTAATTGAACCAATTAAACATGTAGACACCTGCCTGTTTCATTAAAGCAATATAGTTCTGTTCAATTTCTTCTGTATTCTTAATTTTGGATTTTTCAGTTTTGCTTTTTTAAACTACCAGTTTGAGGTGTAACATACACAGGCTTTTAGTATATGTGCTGTTGTGTTTCAGGAACTTGAACATAGTGAAACCATAGCTATTATATGATAGGGTCAAGGTCATAACCACAAGATCAGTTTTATGGCTTTTGTCTTCTTTAAATCAAACAGAACCATAAGAACCATTCTGGAGATGACTGTATCATTTATGGCTTCTGTTATTACCAGCATATCTGAATGATTTATCTCTGCAAGCTAGTTCAGTAGAGTTTTTTGCTACTATTCGTTTGTACTTGTTTATCTTTGTATTTAGCAAATACATATATAAATGTATTAATACCAGCTTTGAGTTGCGGTCAGATAAAGATGCAGAGATTTTTTTTTTTAATTTTATTTTGTGTCTTTAAAATGTTTACTAAATGCAAGTTTTAATTTTGTTCATTATTAGGCATGTATTTTCTGTTGTTTACTCCAAGGTAGTATTTCTTAGTGCATGTTAAATACAGGAAATTTACCTGGAAGAAAGAGATCAGTTCTGCCATAAATCTCATTACCTTTTCCTAAAGCACGTCTTTCCCTTCAATGTCTTGTAATTAAATCAACTCAACTCCAAATTTAATAAAAAAAAAGTGTTGCAAAATTCTAAGAGAAGATTACTTCCATCCCGAGCACTCTTCTCCAGGGACACTTGAAGAGCCAGATGAAGTGTCTCCTGAGGAGGAGGAGGAGCAAGAAGAAGACACAGATAACAATGACTAAGAACTTGCTTTAAACGAAAACTGCAAGGACCCTAAGGAGACAAATAATAGTGATCAAAGTTTTACTGTAAACAAATACTGAAATATATTTCTGGTCCTGAGAAGACGAATAAACCTGATTAAGGTCTTTCTTTAAATACATGCAATAGGAGATCTGAAATGTTAAATACTAAAATTTCTGATTAAATGGATCTAATTTTGTGTTAATGATATACATTGCACATTGTTTAAAGTGCTTGTGATAAAACTCCAAGGATTTCTTTTTGTTTTTATGTTTTCAAAGAAATCTGTCCTTGTTTATATTTTAATTTTAGTAAGTTAAGATTTGTGCACTATTGAAGAACACAGAGGTAATATAGTTTTATTTATTATATGCATTGCATAGGGAAAAAACTTCTTTGTAGTGTATGTGTGCATGAGCAGTTTCCTAAGTAATTTTTGTTAACTTTTTTTTTCTTTAGTTCTCCTCCAGCATCACGAAGATGGGGAATGTTTGGATACAGTAATGGTCCTGATTACGAAAGTGACCAGAGCTTTTCGTTTGATGCAGATGACCACCTTATGTATAATGAATATGACAGAAATACAGATGATGTAGTTGCTAATATACATAGGGATACAGGTCGGAGAAAGAGCTTGGAGCGGCAGGGAGGGTTTGACCAGGAAATATTGAATGAAATGTATGAAGAGCCTGAAGCAGATTACCAAAAAGGTTATCATAGCCCAGACAGTTTGGATGCTTTCAGACAGGACAGTGCAGAAAGTGCAAATGTACCAGAATGGCAAGGAGTGGTGAATGGTTCCTCTCAGCCTTCTTGGGACCAAGAATTCCATTCTTTCGAAACTAAGGAAAGTGGTTCTCCTGTTCCTGAGCAGTGGAGTTCTGTTGAGCAGCCTTCCATCCCCGAGCACTCTTCTCCAGGGACACTTGAAGAGCCAGATGAAGTGTCTCCTGAGGAGGAGGAGGAGCAAGAAGAAGACACAGATAATATAACTCTTATAGAGACTGACTCTAGGCCTGAAGGAGAAATGATGTCAAAGGCAAAAGTTCGATGGTTAACAGCATTTCATAAAATCATCGACCAGCTTAATGAGGTAAGATTAATAACTCATCTTGTTTTGATTCTTTTTCATTTTTAAGCATGTTAAAGTTTATAAAACATTAGGAATACATTTTAATTTTCCATACCACAAATTATTGCTCTCACATTTTCCTTTAATCTCCTGCATCATTTTCATCAAAAACTAAACATTAGCATTGAATGTTATATTCAAAAGTCAGTAGAGACAAAACATAGCTATTTGTTGCATTGTATCATAAGAATTTCAATGGAACTATATATATACACACACACACACACAGTAGATGACAAATGAATCTCTCCAGTGTCAGAGACATCTATAAATCTCTCCATTGTCAGAGACATCTATAAGTCTCTCCAGTGTCAGAGACATCTATAAATCTCTCCAGTGTCAGAGACATCTATAAATCTCTCCAGTGTCAGAGACATCTATAAATCTCTCCAGTGTCAGAGATGTATATAAATCTCTCCAGTGTCAGAGATGTATATAAATCTCTCCAGTGTCAGAGATGTATATAAATCTCTCCAGTGTCAGAGATATATATATAAATCTCTCCAGTGTCAGAGATGTATATAAATCTCTCCAGTGTCAGAGATGTATATAAATCTCTCCAGTGTCAGAGGTATATATATAAATCTCTCCAGTGTCAGAGGTATATATATAAATCTGTCCAGTGTCAGAGATGTATATAAATCTCTCCAGTGTCAGAGATGTATATAAATCTCTCCAGTGTCAGAGATGTATATAAATCTCTCCAGTGTCAGAGATGTATATAAATCTCTCCAGTGTCAGAGATGTATATAAATCTCTCCAGTGTCAGAGATGTATATAAATCGCTCCATTGTCAGAGATGTATATAAATCTCTCCATTGTCAGAGAAATCTATAAATCTCTCAATTGTCAGAGACATCTATAAATCTCTCAATTGTCAGAGATGTATATAAATCTCTCCATTGTCAGAGATGTATATAAATCTCTCCATTGTCAGAGACATTATAAATCTCTCCATTGTCAGAGACATCTATAAATCTTTCAATTGTCAGAGACATCTATAAATCTCTCAAGTGTCAGAGATATATATATATAAATCTCTCCAGTGTCAGAGATGTGTATAAATCTCCCCAGTGTCACAGACTGACATTGTTGTGAGCCTTTCCACAAGTTTTACTGATGATATTTGGAAATAAAGGAAACAAAGATTACAGAGTAATAGTTCTGGAAATTTTAGCTTGATGTATATTTTAAATGAAAACACAAGTTCTGTTACTGATAGGATTTTAGTTACTTAGAAATGATATCACCAAACTGCTGATCTTGAACTCTATAAGAAATCTTTTAATATCTTCACACACGTCTGTCATTAATATCATCTAAAATATACAGAAAATATAATAGATAAAAAGAAGTGGTTGGAAACAGTCCAAATTAAATATTTCCAGTTATCATTCACTTTAAAGTGTAAGTCTTAAGGAAATCTAGTATCAAGTCTAGTATACTTCTTTTAACTGCACATGTTTAAACTTGTCATAAGAGATTGAAAATTTTGAAACTTTTAGCCCTATTAACAAAACATTGTATTTGAGAGTGAATGTTCATTGTTAAATATTTTTTTATTTGAACTGAGCACTGATATAGCTCATGCTTAACAATACAAACACTACTTGCCTGATCACAACCTAATATCTTCTAGTACATTCTTAGAACTAAACTAGCACTGAAGTAAACAAAACATAGTACTTTCTAACTCATGAGTATAGTTTATTGAACGTGTAACATAGTGACCCTTTTTCACAAGAAAACTATCACTCGACGTAGCATTTTCTAGTTCGTGGCTGTAGTTAAAATGTGTTGAAAATAACACGGCACTTTCGAGCAGGTGTTAATATCTCAACTATCACTTAACGCAGTTTAACACTTTCTAGTTCATGGTTGTAGTTAAAATGTGTTGAAAATAACACGGCACTTTCGAGCAGGTGTTAATATCTCAACTATCACTTAACTCAGTTTAACACTTTCTAGTTCATGGTTGTAGTTAAAATGTGTTGAAAATAACACGGCACTTTCGAGCACGTGTTTATATCTCAACTATCACTTAACGCAGTTTAACACTTTCTAGTTCCGTGATTGTAATTAAACTTGTTGAGCATCACACAGCACTTTCTAGTACACTATCACTGAACTGAATGCACTACAGCACTTTACAATGTTAACCTACTTTTCGAGTTCCATTACACTTAGTCATTAAATTTTAAGCCTCATTATCTCTTACACTTACAGATTAGTGAGTAACGGTAGTGAACTTTTCCAATTATAAATATTTCTAATAAATCGCAGATTCGAAATGCAGTTTTTCTTTTGTTGTTTTCTCCGTGTTTCGTATTTGCAACAGGTGTTAACATTTTATAAAACAAAAGTACAGAAGAATTATGTTACATTAAGACGATTTTTAAGCCTCACCATTGTCCTTAAAGTCTGACACCACGTCTGGTCATGCACGATCATCTCGACAATAGTCGTGCAGCATAGTTTCCGTTGCGAAAAAAAGGCCCCATAACTGAGTGACAAGGATGACGGTTCCTGGCGCTTGTTCCAATAGTCCGATCGTATAGAAATCAATAGCACTGCGTCCGGTGACTTGACCAGTATGTCTTTGTATAAACTATCATGAATATCCGTTTCATTCACCAGCTATTTGAGGTAAGCGACAGTTGAACAGGGGGTGCGAGTGGAAACAACTGTTTGAGGTAAGCGACAGTTGACAGCTTATCATAATGAACTCATACTCTGTCGAAATATTAATATCCATACATAGCTGGTATTTTTGTGTGGTGCAAAGAGTACAGAACATTGGCCTGATAGTATATAGAGTAGATCTTGACCTCCGCATCCACTCTCCTGATCCCAAACTTGCCCCTGGTTCAATATCCAACAGTTACCACAAATCCCTTTTAAAAGTTTCACGACATGCTGTGTATCACTTTGGAATTTTTTTCATCCACTGACTGGTAACAAATGACATAAGACTAGTTACAGTTACCAAAGTAGCATCACCAGTACCTACGAAACTCCTAACAATGTCAAAATATAATTTTGATAAATTCAGTTCCACCGTGGCTTTATATCGGCTGTGGTTGTCATGTAACTTTACTGATTAGCATATTCAAAACAGCATCAATATAATGAACTCGGCCTTGTGTACCTGCATGTCAAACCTTCCGACTTTCATTTCTGACGGTAAAATTTGGTGGGGGAAGAAAAAAAAAGTAAATCGGTTCAATGTAACTTATTACGTCAGTTCTCGGATTTGAGTTGTGAGAGAAATTGGCCCCTTCGGACAATTTAAAGTTTAAAAGAATCACGAGACCTTTGTATAGACAGGATTGCTGGCTTCTGATAAATAACGTTAGAACAGATTAAGCTCACTCATAATAATTATACGTAGCCATGTTCCAAGTTTGTTTTTTTTGAAGGTTTTGGTCATGTTAATAATTAACTTAGGGAAGTGTTAGGGTAAAACTTGAATTGTATTCAAGAAATAAAGAATTGATATACGCAGCTATAAAAAACTATAGAACTGTTTTATTTTTATATTTCTGTTTTAACTAATTATTTAATGGACTTTCGTTAGTATTTTTGTTTTATTTTACCATATCCGGTTGACTGACACGTTATCCTGGTATACGCTGGCTTCACCAGGATTACGTTTAAAGCGTAATATATTTTAAAAGTCATCTTATGAAACAGTTTTTGTGTTATCTCAAATTACAGTTGTTCACGCAAACCCATTGGATCTTGTCTACTTTATAACTGAAATTATGTTTCGCAGAACAACAGACATGGAAAAATAACATAGGGCACGAAACTGTATTATAAAGATGATGGTTTACCCAGCGACGCCACCATTAGTGTTAGCCTGGACACATTTAAGTGACACTGTGGGGTTTAAGTTTAATGGCAGAGCTATTGTGAGGCTTTTACGACTTTGGTTTTTGTTTTTTTCATATATACTTAATAATATCACGGTTTGTTTTCCACAGAGAAAAAAACAGATCATTGGAGTTTTATACCAAAATGAAAATTATTTATCATCAGATGGTGACTGTTTCAAATATCATTCCAAAAACTTTCAGTACGTTGCATGAAATGTTGCAAAGTGAAATTCGTCACAATATTTATGCAACTGATTACTCAGAAACTAAAAATAAAACAGAATTGTTTCTTTATGGGAATAAATCTCGGAGAATTTTAACTTAATTTTTTCAACAACTAAAAAAAAAAAATATTTTGTAGTTTCCTGGAACAATTTATGTGAATTGCAGAGATATATAAACCAATCGTATAAGAACAACGATTGTAATTCGATTGATAATTAAATATTTCAAGGAAATAGCTTTCTCAGCAAGATAAAAAAAATCATTGTTCTTAGGGTACTTATGAAACAGCAGGTAAACTCTGGAAAAGAACGAATGTGCTCGAACTGTTACACAGAATTACTAACTCTGGGGCCCGGCATGGCCAGGTGGTTAGGGCGCTCGACTCGCAATCTGCGGGTTCGAATCCCC